CGGGAACTGCAGCAGTGTCCTCATGAGGTGGCACTGTTCTCTGAGGAAGAGTGCAACTTATTATTGTAAAAAGTGTGTCCTGGAGCTGTAGGACTGCTTTAGGGGGTACCCTTGCACCCACTGTAAACCAGGCAGCTGGACAGGAGAAGGCACTAACCCACATGGGCCAATCACTGTCTACCTCCCCTGGGGCTCTAGCTCATCTCTAATGAAAGTAAGACCACCTTGTAACTGTGAGTGGCTGCTCTCTTCCACGTGTAGGAAGAAAGAATGGCAGAGACTGCAGAAGAGGGCACATGAGACCTGTGCGGAGCAGGCCGCACTCCAGCAAGACATCAGCTCCTGAGGCCCTGCTCTGCTCCAGCACACGGGCACCAAGGGAAGCGTCAGCCTTCCAATAAGGCCCGCTGGTACCAAGTCCAGAGGAGATTCCTATGTGACCTGCTGACTTAAGAATTCTGCACCCTCCGAAGCACACATACTGGAAAAGACAGCGATTCTACATGAAGCCCCGAGGGCTTCTCTTCTGCTGTACAGGGATACTCTGAGGACAACACACGCCACAATACAGCTGTGTGACACACAGGGTTTCCACATCTTCCCACTCGCCAGGGACTATTCCCAGACCAGAACCCCACCGCCTCTCCTGCTATTTGTTCCTGTGGGCAACAGCACCCGGCCAGCAGGGCGTCTGCATGGTCTGCTGTGATTCGGACCACCTGCCGGGTGCTCCAGTGTCTGCACTCCCCTGCAGCTGTGTCAGGACAGCCTGATGTCCTGCTGAATCCTGCAGTCCCGCGAGATGGGTCTCCCATGCTCAGAGCATCCCCTACACCGACATCGGTGCCTGCCACAGCAAGGCTCACAGGTGTGGAGAACACACACCACTCTGCTTGCACACCCAGCACTGTGTAGGACCTCTGCAGACACATCAGGAACCAGCAGGAGCCCAGAGAAAGAGGTGTAAGCATCTGTGTGGTTCTGAGGGGCATCCGACCCACAGAGCTCAGGCAGAGGAAGCAACCCAGGCGGAGAGAGCATGCCAAGAGTTTCCCTTAAAACTGAGGAAACATTTCCCTCTACAGACTTCACTCCAGTGCCTGAAGGGTCATGAAGTGAGACTTCATTTAGGGGGAAAGACGTCAAAAAGCCATGGAGAGGGGCTGGGGCCGGGGCTCAGCGGTGGCACACTTGCCTGGCACATGTGAGGCACTGGGTTCGATTCTCAGCACCGCATATCAATAAATACAATAAAAGTCTATCTAACTAAAAAAAAAAAAGCGATGGAGAATTAAGTGCCTCAAGAGTATTAGAGTGAAGTACAAAGTGCACAGGAAAGAGACTCGCATTTCATACACTCTCCCCCTCCCCCACAACGGCTGACCTCTAAAGGGTGCCTCACTACATGGGGTGGGGGTCGAGCTCACAGGTGGGGCACCTGCCTGGATGCACACACCATGGGGTCAGTCCCCAGCACCACATAAACAATAACATGAAACTCGATCAGAGAGAAACAAGGATCTAACACTTTGGTGACAAAAGCTCAGATTTATACTGAAGAAAGCAGGCATTTCAGATTTCAGTGTTATGAAAAGAAAACCAAACTTTCCTATGTAGAAAGACAAAATAAAAATATACCATGAGTTATGACTATGTTTTAATCCCTAAGCTACCTTAATGCCAACTTATCTTTAATAGGCGTATGTTCCTTTTACAATGAATTTTAAAAAACATATGTAATGGCTGTACATTGTAAGGGGAACTTACTTGAATACTCTCATAATTAAAAAACAGGTCATGAAATGATACATGTGATATTCCTCTCAGTTGTTTAAGAATGCACTGGCAGTAACTGGAGGAAATGTCACAACACTAGTACCGGTTGCATCAGATGAAATGACAAGTCACTTACAGAGGTCGCATGGCTAAAGGGGAGTAGAGCTGAACGTGTCGCATTTCACTTCCTCATCCCGGCTGACTTAGAGGGTATAAACTGCTAAACCTTCACTAGGTCAGAACGATCACTGCTGTTCCCAGCCGCAGCCCCCCTGAGAGAAGCAGAGGAAGGCCAGGCACAGCGGCCACACAGGTAATCCGGCTGCTTAAGAGGCTCAGGCCAGAGGACTGCATGTCTGAGGTCAGCCTGGGCAGCTCAGCGAGACCCTGATGGAAGTGAAAGAGAAGGCCTGCCTAGGAGACGTGGCTCAGGGGCCGAGCGGGGCCTGCCTAGCATGGCATCCCCAAACAAAAGAGGGAAGAAGAAATTTGATATTGAATGTGGTCGAAAATCTCAATAAAAATAAATGAGAGCTGGTTCACATTTTTGAAAGTGCTACACATTTAAAAAAATGCTCTTTGAATTGGTTCTAAAAGGTACTATTCAATTCAACTAAAATTTACTGTGCTCCCAAGGAACTGTGAGGGACTAAGACGGGTGCCCTCTTGCTTGGCCTTAAAGCTCCAGAAGGAGAAAGAACCAGGGGCGGGCAGGAGCTGTGCCCGGGGGTCTCTCCACCCGGGGAAGACAATGCGTCATGGACTCCTTTTCCTGCAGGACAAGACCCCTGCAGGGAGGGCTGCTTTCTTTGGCTTCTCTTCCATACCCCCTGAATGAACCCAACGGGCTGTGCAGGAGGTCTGTCTGGAAAATGTCCAGAACCAACCGTGACAGCACGGCAGGCCTGCTCACAAGCCCTGACCTCAAGCAGGTCACCGCCTCAGCTGCCACCCAGGGAACGCCGTAGGGAGCCGCTCACAGGACGCTCCAGGAGGGCACTTAGCGAAGGGTGGTGGGAAGCAAAATATCTGGCAGAATCTGTAATTGAGAAGCATCAGGAGAGTTCCTTCCCAGGCTCACACAGGACAGCCACCCAGACTGCAGCAGAGCCCACAGGGCTGTCCTCCCACTGTACCACGCCAGCCCACCACAGAAGGCCCGCAACACCCGCATTCCAAAGAGTGTTTGCCAAAATAAAGGTCTGAGGGTAGAAACAGAATGCTGTGCTCTTTGTGCCAGTCAGGATTTCATACTTGTCTGGTATTCAAATAAAATTTTATACAGTTTTCATGATTATAATCAAAACCACCAAATATACAGACTAAGGAAAATTCACAACTATTTTACACACAGAAAAATACAAGGCCAGGTTTCATGGGTGCACTACCTGAAGCAGCAGCAAACCAGGAGGCAGGAGGTGGGGGAGCAGAGACACACCCCCCCCACCTCGGAGCCCAGCCAGCAGGCTCACAGCAAAGCGCAACCACCAGAGCTTCAGACTCAAGGATGAAATTAGAAAATTTAGTAAAAATTAGATAAACAGAAATATTTTACTTCAAAGGAAGAAAAAACAGCTGGATCATCATTGAATTTGACATGCAAAGTAAAAACAACACAGTCTATTTAGAGACACACTCTGTCCAAAGTGGTGAAGTGGAAGAAACACTTTTACAAAGTGGTGTGAAGAGCTCCTGCTGGTCTCCCCCCTCCGCCTCTCCCTAATACATTATCCATTTTCAAAAAAAAAAAAATCACCATTGATAGACTAAATACTAGAACCTGTAAGAATTTCACTTCATTCCCTGCAACTTAAAATCAAGAGAAAAAACAATTTTAAGAGAGATAATTCTGACAATCCCCACACTGACCCGAGGTGCTGTCTCCTGCACTTTAATGAAATGTGATTGTCACTGTAGTTAATAAGGAATGTCACAAATAGAGAAACGCACTCTCTCTGAAATGGGATCCTGGTACAAACTTGATACCAATTAGTTTGTAAAATACCTACCCTTAAAAAGAACTACCCGCCCCCCACAGATAGACTATTTCAACTTCATTTTATTATGAAAATGAGAGAAGCAACAGGAAATGGCAGCAGCAGGTGTCTGATGTGGTCCATCAGCAGGAGGGTCCACAAGAGGCCATCATAACCTCAGTGGCTGAAGATTTGACCTTCCCTCTGGTGAAACCTAGACTTCCCGCCGCCTGCTCAGGTGTGAGGATCCCTTCGCAGCACTTTTCACACAACAGGCACAGTGCCCAGGTTTTCCATCTTTCACTCTGTGATATGATCACTTACCAACAGTCAAAGCAGACATTAAAAACCAAACCAGCCTCAGCAACAGCAAGGTGCTAAGCAACTCAGTGAGACCTGTCTCTAAATAAAGTACAAAATAGGGCTGGGGATGGGGCTCGGTGGTCGAGTGCCCCTGAGTTCAATCCCTGGTACCAAAAAACCAGAACCATACTAAAGTATTCATTGACCAATCACAGTAATAATAAAAACTCATGACTGAAGTCGTGCCATCGATTTCTATGGCACGCAGGAACCGTTCCAATCAAGAGCTCAGCTAACAGCCTCTTGGTGTGAAAAAGATACTTGGCCATGTCTGAGAATGCCCCCCTAGTGAATTTCACTGCATTTTAAATTTAATTTTATTTACCACGCTCCCTCAATTGAAGAAACGGTGAATACTTTTTAAAAATGCTGTGGGCTCAGACTCTTGGATGTTCAGGCCATCAGGAGCCCTGCTCTTAGGCTCTGAATATTTTTTGTACTTTGAAATGTGGACTCTGAAAACCAGCGGGAGTCGGGTGGTCAGCTGGTGATGCGTTTCCCACTGGGATCAGATCTGACTGGTGTGCATCCCCGCTGTCTACACACGCCAGTGAGTGGGCACAGCACACATATGCTCACACCCACTGTTTACACCAGGGACGGAGGTCGGGCACTGTCAGGAGCTGTCCTGTTGGGCAGCCAGGAGCGTAGCACGAAGCCAGGGCTCCACAGCTCCTTTTAACCCCCACCTTCCAGGTCACGCCAGGGCCAGCTTCTTCTGATAAAACCGACTCCTGGGCATCGGCACTGCCTCCTGTCCCAGCACACGCACCAAGGTCCCCGCTGATCAGCCACTTCTGAAGTGCTCGGCAGCTACCTGCGACTCTCCCTCGTTCCAACTTACTCTCAATGAGAGCATCTAAAGGTCCAGTGGACAGAACTCACTTGGCTTTCTGAATCCACACACAGTAGTCTGAGATGTAGAGGTCGTTCAGAATGTAAGCAGGGTCATTTTCCTGAAATATTTTGTGAATATCCAGTAGACACTTGAGAACTGCACTTTTACCTGAAGGCAATTGAAGAAAGAAAAAAGAGGAAAATCAAATCATCCTAAAGAAAAAACACCTGATATTTTTAACCGAGAAATTCAGACACCAAGAAATAATATATCTAAAGCAGCTTAGAGTTTTAATCATTTCTTAAGAACATTTTTTTCTAAGCAATATTTTTAATATTCCTTTAGTATATGAAAAAATACCAGTCATATTAGGTCCAAACCCTTCCTTTCCTTAAGGATTGTGAACACTCTCTATTGTTACAGTTGATTAATCATAGCTATCATAAAATATCATAAAAATTAAATGTCAATTAAACAAAAGGAGAGTTTTCCATACTAAATGGCTATTTAACAGCATCATATTTATTTGTTTGTTTATTTGTTTATTTATTTATTTTTGGTATCAGGGGTTGAACTAGGGGTGCTCAACCACTAAGGCACATCCTAGCCCTTTAAAAAAATTTTTTTAGATGCTTAGGGCCTCACTAAACTGCTCAGGCTGGCTTTTTTTTTTTTATTTTAATATATGAGAGTGGAATGCATTACAGTTCTTATTACACATATAGAGCACAATTTTTCATATTTCTGGTTGTATACAAAGTATACTCACACCAATTCATGTCTTCATATCTGTACTTTGGATAGTAATGATCATCACATTCCACCATCATTAATAACCCCCGTCCCCTCCCTTCACCTCCTACCCCTCTGCCCTATCTAGAGTCTGTCTATTCCTCCCATGCCCCCCACTCCCTACCCCACCATGAGTCAGCCTCCTTATATCAGAGAAAACATTGGGCAGCATTTGGTTTTTTGGGATTGGCTCTGAGGCTGGCTTTGAACTGTGATCCTCCTGCCTCAACCTCTTGAGCCGCTGGGATTATAAGCGTTTGCTCTGGCCAGAGCATCATATATTTTTTTTTAAAGATGGACAGAATATCTCTATTTATTTACTTATTTTTATGTGGTGCTGAGGATCGAACGCAGGGCCTCTTGTGAGGCAAGTGCTCTACCGCTGAGCTATAACCCCAGCCCCGCATCATACTGTTAACTGGATAGTATTTTTCAACCCAAGCTTTCAAAATAACAGAGAATTAAATTCAGCTTTCAAACTTCTTTACTCTTATGGCAACATTTTTCATCAAGGAATTACCTAGAACTATTAAAAGTTTTCACCTTAAAAAATTGAAGAAAACTTAGATTGAAACTAAAACATCATAGCACTAGTTCAGAAATGAGCTGAAAAACATCACATGAAAAAGAGCCATCAATTATTAAAGTCTTGTTCACCCTAATTACTTCCTCCTGGTTGTTAAATGAGCCTTATTTTAATCCAAGCAACGGGTACAAAGGGAGCCTCTTACAACCCCACAGTTCCCTGGGTGTTCCAAACTCTATGGCGTCCCCTGAAATTTATTAACCACGGGGCAAATCACTATCCCTGGGGGAAGAGCCACTTCCTCTGTCTGCAGAACAGGTCCCCAGGTCCCCCCAGCTCTGAAGCGTGAACATGCCTGTGCGGATTTCAGGGAGCCCTCGCCTTGTGTCCGCTGCATTTCCATCTGACTTTTAGATTTCACAAGAACCACGAGGGAGATGACGACACAGCACTTTAGTATAATCCACACTAGCAAGCCAGCTTGGAAGAGCTGCCACTCTGCTGAAGAAGCGCTGACCAGGGCAGAGGGAAGCCTAGCGGCCCAGGCCCTGCCATCAAGCGCCATGAGAGGGATGCGGTCACAGGCCACCCAGCCACACCCTCCAGGCGCTTCCCCATTGGCCCTGGTGATCTTCCTGGACATGCCCTCCCCCGCCCTGAGCCCCTGTCCCATTCAGACACACAGCGGGCGGCTCAGAGAGGATCCCAGCACAGCAGGTGTGCACACTGCTTTCCCTCTGGCCAGCTTCCTCCCTCTCTCCTTTTGGGAGGAGAGGTACAGGGCGAAGCTTAGCTTCATGATAATCTCCTCCCTTGACCCTGTCCCTTGACCGCAAATGGGGGGGGGACACAGCTGGCAGAGCGTGGGGAGAGGCCTCAGCTTGGGCGTGGGCACTGAGGACAGACCCTACCTCAGGGAGAGTTTCGTGGAGAGCAGTGTGGTGCTAACGTTACTCATTCATAGGACCCTCGGCCCAGGGAATTACAGACCTGCACTCAGCAGATTCACTCCTGCTAAGAGCCTCGAACAAGTTCAACTGTCCCACCTAAGACTGAAGTACTAACAGTGAAAAGAAACGTCAAGATACAGGGAAATATCAAATAACAAAAAACAAGAAATAAACTAGATGCGATAGCGCACGCTTGTAATCCCAGCAACTTGGGAGGCTGAGGCAGGAGGATCCCAAGTTAAGGCTAGCCTCAGCAACTTAACAAGGCCTTGTCTCAAAATAAAAAATAAAAACAGGCTGGGGATGGGGCCTAGTGGTAGAGCACCTCTGGGTTCAATCCCCAGCACAGCAAAAAAAAAAAAAGGAAGAAAATATTTTTAAAATGTTTTTTAAAGTAAAAAAATTGCATTGTATGCGCATGTTCTAACCCCTATTTCTTCAATAATGAAAAACAGACATTAGAAATCACATTCACGTACCCAGACGATAGGGATCAATAGCACCTGCCTCACGGTCACTGGCTCGAGAGCGGGGCACCACCCCTCCCTCCCGTGAGGGGAGGGCAGCCAGCCATCCTTCAACGTCCCCTCTTATTTGCGCAATCATCCTCAAGAAAGAGTTTGGAAAACTCAGGACATGCTCCACTACGAAGCCGACCCTGAAACACTGAGAGTAATCGTTACAAACTTTGACCTGCATTTAAAATCACTTCATTTATGTATGTGTGTGTGTATTTTCGAGAGGGGTTGGTCCAGAACTCCTGGGCTCCTGCACCCCTCCTGCCTCTGCCTCCTGAGCAGCTGGTGAACCGTGCTCTCAGCATCTTGGTGACAGACACAGTAAGAGATAACCAGGCGACTGGCAGCTGACAACCTGGAGCACGACTCTAAACCACCCGCCCTGCACCTGCCTTGCTCTGTGGTCTGACTCCATCTCCACGGGGGCCTGCGGCTTCATGGCCAGGGTGGGCCAGGGTGCGCCAAGGTTGTGGGGGTGGGGAGAGGAGGGTGGGGGGAGGGGGTTCTGTCCTCTGCACTGACTGCCCCAGCAGGTCCCCAGGCCTTCTCCACTCATCCAGCAGCTATTGGCCAAGGAAGAGCTAGCCCTCTTCTGGGCTGTCCCCGGACCAGTGCCAGAAGCCTTCGGGGACCCCCCCCCCCAGTCCCTGGATCCCATGGGGCTTTATCTAGTGACGAGCTTGTCACACGACCTGGGAGCATAAGAAACTGCTAAGGCCCAAATCTAAGACAGTTATTTCTGCTCAAAGGCACTGCAGGAAAGTGACATTTTCAGGCAGGTCACTGCCTGGTCCAAGGCAGAAAAAAAGGAGGTACTTGCGGAGACAGCATGGCAGGTCCTCTCACTGCAGGTCCCCAGGCCCAGCCAGCTGGCCTCCAGCTCCCAGGAGTGGGGCAGGAGTGGCTCCCTCGGACTCCCTTAGGAGGGCACTTAACACTAGCACCCTGGTGTTGTAAGTGACAAGAGGCACAGACGCTGACTTCAGGGAAAGGACTGTCTAACAGTAACACATGGAAACGTAATGACGACACAAGGAGACACTGCGTCCCTAAAAGCCAGGGGCGGTTCACGGGGGTGCACACAGCCTCTGGCTCTGCTGTCACAGGAAGGTGAGGTCAATGCAGTGGGCTTTGCTGCCCGGGCAGACGCGGCACCGCAGGGTCACACGCCTCAACATGAAGACGAGCCGCAGCTGCGGTCAACGGCCATCCTTTGGCTACCCAAAGCCCTCTCAGCAGACCAGGCTTGGCAGTCACCTCCCGACAGACGGGCTCCTGGTTGGAGGCACTTAAGAAACGCCTCCCATCCCCCAAGATGATTAGGGCACTGGAGGTTTCAGCTGACTGAAAGCCAGCTCAGGAGGGGGCGGGCCCACCACCAGCTCCACATCTCTGCAACTGCTGGCACCCACGGCAGCCGGCGCCAGGCCCAGAGACGGCGTTCCGCCCTGGCAGCTCGGAACTGCACGAAAGGAGAGGCCGAGGAGGCCGAGGAAAGGCAGGGGGTTATTCTAAAGACCTCAAGGAAAACACAGCGTGGTCCTTATTTATAAATCACCTCAAAATGAAGGCCGACCTCCCGTCATCTTCACACACGTAACTTGGACACCTTGCTGGACTCCTGGGTTCTGATGAGAACTTATGACCAAAACGGATCCCAAGGACTATTTAACATTAATTTTCATAAGCAAGAAACATTGTGTCAAATTAATTAAAATTAAGAGAATCAAAGCAGGGTAGCCCACTTTAGCATCAGACTGCATTAGGTCAGAGAGTAAAATCAAGTCCCCAATGAGTAACACAGACATACATGATAAAGTCAGCATTAAAAAAAGAAGCTTCTCAGGGCTGGGGGTGTGGCCCAGTACCCAAAAAAGGAAAGGGAAAAAAAGCTTCTCCATCTGTGTAATTTTTAAATTCTCAAATTTCTCAGATGCTGTTCAAGTTTTTACATTTCTGAGTTGTAAGAAGAAACACATACTTCAAGCAATGAGATACTATTTTAAGGACTAGTTGAGTCTTATAGCAACTGAAAAGTACTCCCGTGTTATTAAGATTGTATTTATTATTCCTATATTCACAGACAAAATTAACATGAAGCAAACAGCCTGTGTAGATGCTCCCTTTGCTTAGAATCAACAAACCTCAACCAATCCCAAGCTACCACCCAGGTGTCAATCGGCCACTCCTTCTGGGAACAGAGTTCCAGTTCTCCCAGGCTGGCGTGGGGTCCCTGTGACAGCAGGCAGTAGCGACCCAGCGTCCTGCAGAGGGCACTTCACCTCTGTTATGTCATCAGGCCTGGGAGGTAGGTACTTTCTTCCTTGTCTCATCAGAGGACGATGAGTGTGGAGACTTTGAAGGAGCTGGCCCAGATCACAG